GTATTCGACTTTCGCGAGAACGATTATGAGCTGCTGGAAAAGTTTTTGGCCCCCTTCGAAATCGGGATTTTAGGTGGATACTGTCCTCACTTTCCAGTTGTGCTTTATACTCATGCTGTGTTGTGCTTGCAGTGAATAACGTGGGCATGGCGAATTCGGTGCTGACAAAAATAGCCCAAGACGCGGACACCAATCGCGACGTATACAAGGTCGACACGCGACCTATGCTTGAGGTCAGTTAAACTTCATTCCTGGACCCACTCACTCTTTCTCTCATTATCAATTGCAGCTCTCACTGATGGTACTGCCAAAGATGGAAAAACAGCGAAAGGGCATCATTGTCACCATTTCTTCGATCCAAGGTCTGCGACCGCTTCCTCTGATTGGTGTGTACAGTGCTTCAAAGGTATCACCCGTTTTACATTCTTAATTAAGTGTTCAGGTAGCTGAACAACACAAAAAGATTTTATCAAATGTACGGTAACAAAAGCATTATAGGTGATAAGCCCCTAACAGCTGCCTTGATTTGCACAGTACCTGCATTGCTAATTGTAAGGACTGGTAAAAGATGATAATGCGCATTGACTATCCTTTAAAAGCACATAAATCTTACGGCGAATCATGCCCAAGGAAAGTAGAGAACCATTTCCTTCCAGAACAAATTTTAAAGGGAAAAAAGCATTTTGACTGGATGAAATTGAAAATGGCAAATAAACTGATTCTTGAAATAGTTAGTTATCTGCGATTTTTTGTCTGGTTTAAAACATAGCTTAGTTTTGATTAAAACGCGTCACATTCGCAAGGAATGCGCCATCACATCATGATCCAGAATGGGGGACATTGATAATGATCCTACATCTCATGGTGGCGTGACGGTGCCTTTAACCTCTGTGCGGGGCAATCCTCCGATCGAAGAAGGGCAGATCTGAAAGTAACCAGAGATACACTAGGTCGGTCATTGCATCGCCGCCTATCAATAACGATCCAACCAGAAAGAAACGGACTTATCTATCGACGCTGATCTGCCAACGGCTCACGACAAGATGCCAACAGCCTGCAACTTACATATGCATGGTCTACCAGCACAGGACCAGGAAGAAACCGTCCAATCCTGGAGACTCGTTCAAACGGGGCACGCATGTATGCATTTTGCAATAACGGCGAAGAGCGTACCTACGCAAAGGGTACCCAATTCGTCTTTATGGAACCGCAGTCGAATGTAGCAGTGATGCACCACATACAATAAGCAACATTTGATGCGCTTAATAATGAGCATGCCTATGTGATTGCTTGGTTTCACCAAGGGCAGAGGTTTATTTCCTGAAGAAGCCAGCACATAAAGTAGCTTTATGACAGAATGAAACACGCTGATATTGTAGTCATACCGCAACAGTGGCCAAGTGAAAAAAAAGTCACGAGTGTCCTGTTTTTTATTCATCCTACATGCTTTTGTTTTGATATTATGGTACTGTAATCAAATGCTTATTACGAGCGAAATATGGTGCCAAGATTACACTTTTACTGCAGGCGTTGTCATACCAGCATGAACTGAGACCGATTCGTCGTCCTCTGCAAACCGGTAAATCCTGTTTTATCCATTATCATTAGGCGAACTCCTATACCTCAGCCTCTAGTTTGGTCAGGCTTCGCTTATACCGGTAATGTTGTTAAAATTACAGATTACCGGTCTGAAGCGAACAGTGCATTGGTTTCAGCCCATGCCGGTATGGACTGATTTCTACTTCGGACGGTAGCATATAAACAGCTGGAATAAACTGCCCCATGAACATCTTCCAAAGCCCCTTCCATCAACCTCGCTATTTATCTGATATATTGTCTTAATTATTAGATCACTTGGAGCTATGTTAAACGTATATTTTAAGGTATTTGTCTCCTATCTGGCGTCAATCATTGAAGATGAATACGCGAATTGTGGAATCACGTCCCAGGTAGAGGAAATGTTCACCGGTTCACAAACAACTTAAAGGAAATAAGCATTTTTAGTGTCTTTATCCGGCTCTGGTATTGACAAAAATGATCCCGTACGACAAGCCGAATTTTTTTGTCATTGAACCGGAGAAATACGCTGATCAAGCCATCAAGACGTTAGGCGTGACAAATAGAACAGCAGGTTGTTTCATGCACCAAGTTTTGGTCTGTTTCTTAAACCTCAAAATATTGTGCAACAATAGGAGTATATTTCAGATATGCTCTGGTCACTTCCTTCCATGGTCGCTTGCGAAGCGCATCATCAAGCCTATTTACTTGATGCATCAGAAATGGCTACAGAAGGCACACGACGAAGCGAACAGCAAGAGCAAATAACTTGTCGAATGTTAGCCACTTTTCACTGCTTTAATTCATCAATTAGCATCATTTCGATTATTAAATATTTTAGCCGTTCTTTAATTAGTGATTCAGCTATAAAATGTTTCTTTCGCATTGATGTCTATTAGATCAGACACGTGGACACAGAATTTTTGGATAACCTGCATCCAAATTAATTATTGTTAATTAATCTGTTCATTGATTGACTGTAGTCGCCAATGATGTAAAAATAAAGTGAATCTTTTGCGTTCGAAAACAGCCTAACAGTCGAATATCAAATCCCCACTGCTGCGTCAGTGACGCATTTCGACAATAGTGCATTACGTCAACGACAAGACAATTTCCAAATGGCTTGGCGCATTTATGCCGCCAGAATATTCGAAGGGCAATTTGTCACGCATCTCGATGACGAAACTGAGTATTTGATTAAAATTTCGGCTTAAGCTTCACCTTCTGTTGCAGAAAAGCCATCTAGAGTAGTCTTGAATATTAAGAAAATGAAACACTCAAAAAATTGATATAATAATCTAAGATTGAACGTTATGAAAACGGCCCAAAACAGTTTATGCACAACGCAATCCTTTGATTGACCAGCACCGACGTTTCGGCCATTGTCTCAGTGACCTTCTTCAACAAAGAAACGTCGGTTGCCTTCTGAAGTCCTTTCTGATGTTTGCAGAGGTTGGTAATTGTAAAGTCAGATGGTGGTGCTGGTTAAATTACTTCTTGACGAAGAGGAAGACGAGGATCATTCAGTCGATGCAGAGACCATAGCCATGGCTCCCACAAACGTTGTCACAAAGCTAGATTGTCAATGCCTCCGTGATGCGCCTATACAGCCAGTGTCTTTCTCTGATGATGCGAGTACACTCTGACCGTCAAGGGCGTGTACTTCCTGTGCTAAATGTTGCACAGTGCCGGAGTTCGTTTAGCATTTTTCTTTGACTGTAAAGGATAAGACTGTTTCCTTTCGGAACGATTCACTATGACGTAACGCTCACGCTCCTCATGAATCATAGATTTTCTCAAACTTAACAGATGGGTCATTGTTTCCGAGTAACGGTGCGGCGCTTCCTGATTCTTCCACGTGGTGTTTCTGTCAGTCACGTGGCCATAGTATACACAACCTAGAGAATTGCTATTTTCAGAACTACTTAACAAAGTAATTGTTTATTACATCTTTAATATATTCATACACGCTAATATAAGTTCATAATGAATTGGATGTTAAGCGCCCTTTGCAACGCTTCACTGAAGTTTTTATGATAAAGGAGAATAGGGTAGTGAGCCATTTAAGATATTGAAATTATTGCCGCTAAAAGTAAATTTAAAGTATGTTACTCTGTTTACAAAATTATCAGCAAATTCAAGTGATAATTATTATTATCACGTATTTCTTCTATAAGAATTTCATTATTCTAGAATTACACAGCTCTATCTTTAAAGCCATTGTTCATATTTCGTTATTTATATAATTATGCCAGTTAAATATTAGAT